TCGCTTTATAATTAAAACAGTTTCTAAGCTCATGGAAACGGACAACGCACAGTTCATGATGTGGCAAGACCACAAACGCAACAGGAAATCATAACACCAAACATGAGGTGGAGAGGGACAGGTGGACTTCTTTGGTACAGAGGGAGGAAAATGTGCAGCTGTTTGCAACGTGTTCAGCACTGCTGCTGAATTTGGGACATTTTGTCAAGGCACTTACATCTACGCTTAGGTTTTTGTGTGTATTGTGAGTAGAATAAAACTATTACAATAGAGTTTGCTTGGATAATAGGGGGCAGCTGGTGATCAGAAGAACAGGAAATGATTCCTAAGTGTGGGTTTTGTTAGAATGTCTTTGTCAACCTGTTTTAAAGACAATAGTGGATTTGTGTTCTCAAAGCATTTCATGCGACCTTAAAGCTCCCAAGAATGACATTAAGTTGCTGACCTCTGACTTGGCAAATCAGTTGGTTCAGCGATAAAATTTGGTGTGTAACTGTATAGTGTGAAAAATGTATTGACAGTGGGGGTCTGCCTGTTATAAAGTGAGTGAAAGCTGCCTCAGCCAAGAACAAGAAGCCACAGTTGCTAGTCTGGTTAGAGGACAGCCCCCCCCAGACTGAACAATAGAATTAGTGGAAAACTACTGTGGAGGGGGACACAGGGCAGCCCCGGACTCTTCTTCAGCTGGGATATCCAAAGAATGGGTGAGGTGAAGAAGTAAACCTCAAGGCTATATTTTAAAATAACGGATTTCCCTGCACCTTAATGCTACAGAACTCCATTAGTTCAAATGTGCATGAATCAAAATGGTTATAAAATGAGTAATGAAATTAATACATGGTAAAATAAATAGCTGTATGAGTTCAGCTTGGAATTATGTGTCCTTGAAATGACCGAATGTCAGTTCAACTGGCCTAGATTTAGCCAGGTAAGGTTGTAGATTAGAGCATTTTGCCTGGATAATATTATATTATTAGTTATCATTAAAATATACAGTGTACTTCCAGTACAACAGCCGGTGTAGGCTTTCAAAAAACAAAAGTAGAAGTGACACAAATCTCATATATAGATAGATAGATAGAGATAGATAGATAGAGATAGATAGATAATAACATGCATGTATAAATGTAATATTTTCAGTCACAATTGATGTTTTTTTAATAAAATACTTTAAAAATGTAGGTGAAACTTTTAAAGGTGTATTTCTTGCATGATAGTGTCTCATAGAAAAATGGCAAGTGTCTGTACTATGAAGGTGTGATTGTAAATGTTGAGTT